AACCCCAGTACCAACAACAACAAAAAGATGGAATAAATCCACCCAAAAGGAAGTACTGTATATCTTCATAATTCGAAAACACTGAGCCACTTTGAGGAAGCTGTAGCTGGTGGGATTCCAGCCATTTACAGCCTCTAGAGGAGGGAGGAGACCTTATATCCTCCCCCTGTGTGTCTGGCATGAAAACTGAACATTCTGAAATGTGATCAAAGGCATCTATCAAGCACTGTCAGGAGGAAATGTAGATGATCCTGTTTACAGAAGAATGCAGCCAGTAAGGGAAGCAGGGAAGAAAGAAATTCTATCATGAGCTCAATCTATAGTTTTGTTGAAAATTCCATAACCTCTAAATCTAGGCAAGAACCTGTTCTGGTTATTGGGGGGAACGAGCACACGCAACCGGTGGTGGGGGGCGTGCGGTGGGGAGGTGGGTAGGGTTCACGTTAAGTAAGGAATTGGCTCACAGGATGTAGAGGCTGGCAAGTCTGCAGTGTAGAGGGCAGGCCAGCTGGAAGGGCTGATGCTACAGCATTCCTCTTCGCCTCCCCTCCTCCCTGGGGTAAGGGCTGCCCATCACATTGTGAGGGTCATTATTCTTTTTTTACTCATAGTGTATGGATTTAAATAATAATCATGTCTAAAAATATCTCCACAGTGGCATCTCTGCTGATATTTGACCAGATAGCACTATGACATAGCCAAGTTGACACATAAAATAGCCACACTGGTGAAGTTGCATTTGCTTGAAAATTTGGTAGTAATGATACAATGTCTGTTTCTCATGAGGTTGGAACCTGCCTTAACCTTTGCTTGGAGTGTGAAGAAAGCCTGGTCCTTCAGAGAGGAGTCACTGGGACCTTTGCCTTAAAAAACAGACATGTTGTCTGTTTGAAGGTGGGGGGCTTGGAAATATTTCTCAGAAGGATTCCTGTATTCTAAAAGAGAAATGTGATCTGGCAGTTTCCTCAAGAGATCAACTGGATATCATTGCATATGCCTAGAAATCGGCTTTCTTTTGGATCTGAGTTTTAGTAGTTATGAGTAGATTTGAAAGTACTGGTTTTTCTTTCCAAGAAGTTTCAGGTTGTAGTCTTTTTTGTTCAGGTACTGGGTATTGAATGCAGAGTCTTTTTAATGTATTTTTTTAAGGTACTGTATATTGCTTTCTTACTGTGAACCATACTGAATTTAGCTTTTTACCTCTCCTTTCTATGTAATGTGAGGGAATACATTTTTGTTGAAGTTTTGTAAGGGAGTCAGATTGCTTATTCTATTTTGCATATTCTTTTCTATCATTTTTTGAGAGGAAAATGAAAATCTGTAACATCAGAATAGATGACAATTACACAGTACAATTGATCCTTGAATGATGTGGATCTGAACTGTGTAGGTCCACTTATACCCAGATTTTGGAAGGAAGATTAGTGGCAGTTTGAAAATATTGTAGAGGAACCCAGAAATTGAGAGAAGAGGTGTCATGAAAGTATAAAATATATGTATATGTCCATTTTATTATTTGCTACCATAAAACACAGATATAAAAAGATAAACTATATCAAAATTTAGGTACACAGGCACTTTAAGAATTGTACATGGCCATTCTGAGAGAAAGGTTAACAAATAAAAAGATGCAGCATTACATCATGAAGGCATAAAATTACATAGTGCACGTTGTACCAGCAACTTCCTGTTGCTGTTGGGGTGAGCTCAAGCCTTCTGAGTGTCCACGGAAATCCCCATGTGATGTTCCATAGAAGCATTTCCTCTCGGTAAATTAGGTGTCTCTAGTTAAGTGTTTGAGATTTTCCCTTCTCCCCCTTTCCCCCCTTCCTTCTCCTTCCGTTTTTCCTACAAGGTCTTGCTGTGTAGCCTAATCTGGCCTCAAACCACAATCCTCCTACCTCCACCTCTTGAGGGCTGGGATTACAGACTTGCATCACCACTCCCAGCTGAGTGTTTGGAGATTGTCACCTGAGCCTGGGGTTTGTGCCCTTCACCACCCCTGCATTGTTCAAGAGTCAGTTGTAGTCCTTTTTTTTCTGTTTTGTCCTCATCCTTTGTTCTGCAGGTAACTGTCCATTCCTTCCATCAGAGGCTGAACTTCTCCACGAGTCCTTAATTAGAAGCTCATGGACCTAAAACTTCAGCAGGAAATATTTGTAGTAAGAATATTCCCTGCACTCTCACATGCTCATAACTGTTCTGAACTTTAAGGGCAGCGTACAATTCTTAGCTGATTATAAAATGAAGTCATTGCTCACATTTTCTTTTCCCTGAGAGCCTTAAACTTACTTGTCTTCTGGCATGAAGTGTTGCTGTGAAAATATGGTTTTCTTTACCTTACACATGATTTGGTCCTTTTGCCTGGATGCCCAAAGGATACTGTTTTCTTTAAAATCCATTTATTAGATAGCTCTTAGTATCAGTTGTTCTTTGTCTGATTTCTCAGGGGGTGCATTTGTTCAAGTGTTTTATTTTAGAAAAAATTTTCCAGAAATAAAGTTTTTAGTACTCACTCCTATGTCTTTGTTTTGGGGTTGCAGGCACTTGTATCATACAGATGTTGTATCTGAAACCATCTCTTTTAATCTTCATTTCTTTTCCCCATATATCTCCCTTTCTCTTATGAGCTCCCATGGTACCATTTCCTGTAATTTAGTCTTCAAGTCTAAAATTATTTTTTCAAATTGCTAGTTTCTTTACCTCGTCTGACTTTTCTTGTGTCGTGTCTTATCTAGCTGTTTTGTTTCTGAACTTCTCTATTTCTGATACATATTTCTATATAAGAGTTCTCCAGAGAAACAGAAACCAATGAGATAGATGAGTATAAAGGAGATTTATTATGTGGAGTTGGTTCATGCAGTATGGAGACAGAGAAGGCCCATGATCTGCTGTCTGCATGCTGGAGGCCAAGGAAAGCTGATGGTATAATTCAGTCCAAGTGCAAAGGCCTGAGAAGCTGGGGAGCCACTGGTGTTAAGTCCCAGTCCAAAGGCAGGAGAAGAGTGATGTCCCAACTCAAGTAAGAGGCAGGAAGTAAAAAGGTGAATTCCTCCTTTTCACCTTCTGTCCTGCTCTGTCCATATTGGTGAGGACAAGCCATCCTTTACCTTCTTTACTCCATCTCCCATTCAATTGCTAATCTCATTTCAAAACATGCAGATACACCCAGAAACAAGTATTTTAATCTGGGCACCCTTTAGCACAGTCAAGTTGATCCATAAAATCAATCAATACAGTTCTTCTTTCATAGCTTCTGTTATTTGCTAGTAACGGTTTTTCATTTATGGTCATATTTTTCTCACCTCCCCCCACTACTTAGGAGAACATCAATGAAGAGTAGTCATTTCTTTCAGTAAACTGTCTTTGATTTGTTGTCCAGTAAAATATTCATGCAAATGAGAAGGAGTGAAAAGATTCCAGTATAGGTTTCCTAGCTTCAGAGTTCTGAGGCTGCCTCTGCTGTTTTCCTATGGCATATTTAAAACAAGACCCCCTCCCTATAGTTACCTCTGTCAACTTGTTGAGATCTGCCTCTTTTGGGTTTTCCCTTACTACTGTCTTCTGGTGACACCCTGCCCTGTTAGGATTTTTGTTCTCAGTGAGATCTGACAGGGCAGGGACAGCCTCAGTTTTTTGGCCTTATAAGTCTTGTTCTTAACCTTACGATCCCCCTTCCCAGTCTCCCTGCTTTGTCTCAGTTCTTCATGTCCCTCTTGGGTAAGTAGTACTTGTTGGCCTGCTTTGCCAACCTCCAGGACCCTGGCTTAAATCCGTGTGATTAGTTCAGAATAAATTAGTCCTACTTAGAATGTGTGTGTGTGTGTGTGTGTGTTTGTTTGTGTGTTATACTTTTAAATATTACAACCTACAGTACATAGCTTTTTTTTTTTTTAAGACTTTATGTTCTATGACAGGTGCTAATCACTTTTATTCATGGTATACCACATGGGAACGTCATCCCCATAAACTTGGGAAGGGAGTTCTTCTCAACTGTTTTTCACTCTTGTCAAGTATCAGCATCTGCCATTTTGGTTCCCAGTTTGCATGTAAAACAAATCTTGTCCCTTGTCCTTTGATTCCAAGGTGAAATGAAGGTATTTTTCCCCCAATCTCAAGAACTAGTGTATTATTTCTAAGCATTATGTCTAGATTTTTCAATTGCTAGTAGTACAGAAGCAGTGTCGTTTGATGTTGCTTCAGTAATTTTTAACATTACATTCAGTATTTGCCATAAACTCAAGTGTGTTAACTTAAGATTGTATGTTTACTAGAGAAGTAGTGGTAGTATAACACATTGATACAAGTCAGCCTGGACTCCAGTTTCAGTTAAAGTGAAAAGTCTAGTTTATGCTTACTGTTAAAACCAGTAGGGGCAGAATTATTAAGGAATTAGAATAAGTGAATGAATAGTCATACATTGGTTTTTGACTTGAAATGAATTTGTATGATGTCGAGTGTAAGTATGTTTAGGTACTGGTTTAATCTATCACATGTGGTCAGTTTCTCTCCTTTAACTTGGACAATTTTGAGTTGATTGAATGAGAGGAAACACAGAAAGCTCTAAAGCTTAAGACTAAGGCTTCCTGACCAGTAGTTTGTGTCTGTCTACACAGTTTGAGTGGCCAGCACGCTCTTACTACTAATGAGTCATTTTACTTACTTGGTGCTGGAGGGGGCCCACACGTGTGGGCGAGGCCGTAAGCACCTTGAGTTTCTGCAAACAGGAATGTGCCACTTAGGAGGGTTGTTTCTGTTTGTTTGTTTTTTTCTTCTAATTGAGACAAGATCTTGCTTATGTAGCCAAAGCTGGTCTGAAACTCAGAATCCTCCTGCCTCTCACCTCCTGAGTGGTGAGATCACAGATAGCATACAACTGCTTGCAAATAAGACTTTACACATGACTTGGGATCTTCTGTAATGAGAGCATACGAGCCTGTGGTTGTGCTGGATCTAGGTATGCACACTTGTGAGATAATATCTTGTGTGTGTGAATACAGAAAGCATCGGAGCAGTGTGGGGCCGAGCAAGCCTGTGTCCCAGCCCCGGCGGAACATCGTAGGCTGCAGGATCCAGCATGGGTGGAGAGAGGGCAACGGCCCTGTCACCCAGTGGAAGGGGACTGTCCTGGACCAGGTGCCCGTGAATCCTTCTTTGTATCTTATAAAGTATGATGGATTTGACTGTGTTTATGGACTAGAACTTAATAAAGACGAAAGAGTCTCTGCACTTGAAGTTCTCCCTGACAGAGTTGGTAAGTTTTTTTGTTTTGTTTTGTTTTGTTTTTTCCTTTTCTTCTTTTACTGTTTGTGCATTATGGCTTTAACAGTGATGATTAAAATGGATACTTTTTGGTAATTCTTTTACATTGTTGGTATTTTTACTTCTGTTAGAATTCAAGCATTCCTGATAGATATTTAAATGAGTCATCTAAAAACCATAAAAGTTAATCCAGAACAGATGTTCTGAAAACAGTCTAAGGAATTGTGTAGGATATAAAGATGTATCAAGTTTTCATCAAGAAGCTTACAGTGTCATTTCTCATGGTTATTTCTTACACTTTTGCACATTGTTATTAGGTCTCTGATAGCTAAGAGAAATATTACACATTTATTTCAGAATCTTTGTGTGAAGTGTATCTTTCATTATGTATTACATAAATGATAATAGCATTTTGAGCCAAAATGTAAGCAACCAAGATCAGAGCTTTACTATCCATTTCTTAGGGCTTGTTTGAACAATGTTTGTGGAAATGAATGGCTCTTTCATGTCATATAGTACCAGTTTTGCCTTGCAAGTGTTCCTTAGAGTATAAGGTCTAAGTTAAATAATAATTAATTTTAGTTACTTGGGCTATACCCAAGTAAATTATACTTTAAGTATATTTTGAAATGTTTTATTATTATAGTGACACTCCTGTTGCTTAAAATACTGGTTTGTGCTTTTTTTGGAATTGTCTTTAAAGTCTTGGAGACTAGGAATTTTGGAATCAAATTGAAAAAGAAAGCAAGCAAGCAATCTAGTTCCCTTCCTTTGCTTTTCTTCAGAAGGCGTCATCGTATTCTTGGAACAAAAGTTTCCCCAATAAGTTAGTAAGTCTTTGCTATAACAGCAAGTGATCTCCCTAATCTTCCCCTCAGGTATCAAGTGCTAAGTCTTTGCTTAATATATATAACATAGTTCACTTTTCACAAATCTTTTCTTCTCTTTCATACTTTCAATGTTTTTGACTTTTTTTTTTTTTTTTTGGAGACTAGGTCTCATTGTGTTGCCCAGGCTGGTCTCCAACTCATGAGTTCAAGTGATCCCTTCCATCTTAAGAATATATGGGACAAGAAGTATGTGCCATTGCACCCAGCTCTTGACTATTCTTTTTGTGTGTGTGTGGGGAGGGGTAGGGTAGGGTGTGTGGTACTGGTGTTTGAACTGAGGGCTTTGCACTTGCTAGGCGGGTGCTCTACTGCTTGAGCCACATGTGTGTTCAGTCCTCAACTGTTACTGTGACTGAACTCTTGTTCTGCCTCTTGGGTGCACATCCTGTATTTCTTCTTGATCTTGACATCAGTTTATTTCCCACATTAGAAATGTTAACATTTAAGAATCTTACCTGCACAGCTTAAAGAATATTATCCAATGCTTATGTCAATTATTTGTGCCAAATAATTGTCATGTATTGTTTCTGATCCAGAATTTTAGTTCATCAACCTTTCTTGGGTAAGACTGCTGGCTCACTTGAACCTTTTATATATTGTTGCACGACTTGTGAGCATCAGTGCTTTTATCATCAGAGAATGAAAAAAAACAAACAGGTGTCTCTGGTAGTGGGAACAAGGGTTATATGATACTTCTTATAGCTTTGGGTTGTCCAGTTTCCATCAGTGAACATGGATTGCTATTGTAAAATAATTGAAAAGGAATCCAAGTGCCTCTGTGCAAATCAGCAATGTATTATGTACCTATATTCAGCTAATAATTGTTCTTGATTTTAGTATTCACTATGATACATGAATCAAAAAGGTTCTTTGCCTTTTATATTCTGGGTAGGAACAAAATACTCTTCCCTAATTTGCTTCTGATAGTATGTCGGATGATAGTTAAATTATGTTTTACTTAAGTTAAAGGTGATGAAAAAGTAAATCAATCCACTGAAAAGCATGTGATGGCAGCAGTGGTTCCCAAGGGCAGGTCTGGACACCCTTAGGGTTCCCTGAAGACCTTCAGGAGGTGTGCAAGGTGACTGTTATTTTCATAGTATTAACATACAATTTTCCCTCTTCATTCTCATTCTTTTACAGTTACAGTGAAGTATCCCACTGCTGTTTGGAAGATCCATTTAACCCAACAAACATATGAGCAAAGCATCATATTATATTGGCAAAAAAAACAAAAAAAAACTATTCAAAGGACAAGATTGACAATTAAAATATAAATTATGGTTAAACACACATAACATAAAATTTGCTATCTTAACCATTTTTAACTGTATGGTCCCTTAGCATTAACTATACTAAGTTGTGAAACGTGACCAGAACCTTTTCTTGTTGCAGATCTGAAACTTTGTTACTATTAAATAACTTCCCTTTTCTCTCTCCCTCCTCAGACCTTGACACCCACTGTTCTGCTTTCTGTCTCTCAATTTGGCTACTCTGCCTCATAAGTAGTATCATACAGGATTTGTCTTTCTGTCACTGGCTTATTTCACTTAGTAATGTACTTAAGGTACATCTGTGCAGTAGCATATGACAGAATTTCCTTCTCTTTTCAGACTGAAAATAATATTCCAGTGTCTGCTACACATTTTGCTTTATCTGTTCACCGACTGATGGACATTTATCTCACTTCCACTTTTTGGTAGTTTATAAAATTTGTGCACTGTAAAATTGTGAATAGTGTTGCTCTGTGCATGAGTGTACAAATGCTTCTTTGAAGTCCTCCTTTCCATTTGTTTGAGTCTATACACAAAAGTGGGATTGTGTGATCATAATGGGTATTCTAACTTGATTTTGTGTGTGGCGGGGGAGGGACTCTAGTTTGAACTCAGGATTTTAAGGCTTTACACTTGCAAAGTGGATGCTCTATTGCTTGAGCCATACCTCGAGCCCATTTCTCTCTTGTTATTTTGGAGATAGAGCCTCAAACTCTTTGCCTGAGCTAGCCTTGAACAGAACAGTGATTTTCCTGATCTCAGCCTCCCAAGTAGCTGGGATTATAGGCATGTACCACCATGCCCAGCTCCACTGTGTCCAGCTCTAATTTGAATGTTCTGTATGGAAGTACCTTACTGTTTCCTCCAGTTATACCATTTTACAATCCCACCAACAGTACACAGGGTTCTTGCACTTCTCCATCTCTTTGCCAGCAGTTGTTTTTATGTTTCCTTTTTTGATAGTAGCCATCCTAATGGTTATGAGATTATAACTCATTATAGTTTTGATTTGAAGCTAACAGTGTTGATTTCTTAACTTGATAGTTAACCATTTTGTATATGTCTTTGGAGAAATGTCTCAAGTTATGTGATAAGGTTTTTTGTTGTCATTGTTGGAATTCTCTGTATTTTGGAGGCATGGGTTTTAATGTAACAGGATGACAAGTTTATTGAAAATTTTATCAGATTCTGTTTTGCAAATAACCATTAAAGAGCTTCTTGTTGGCTTTTTAAGAAGAGGATTTAGAATTATCTTAAAGACAATTGGTATACGGTTCTATTTCACAGCATATCTTTGTGAGGCTGAATTTTTTACATCAGCTAAAAGAACAAATATCAGATTGAATCCTGAAGCAGATAGGAGAATCAAGTTATTTTTTAAAGCTAGACATTTAAGAGACTTGCAAAAACATAAAATTATGCCACACATACTAAATTTTTGTTAGAAAATAGTTATTTTTATTTAAAATGCAGTTATGTAGATCTTTTAAAATATTTTGAATTTCATTTTCTAAAGTAGTAAATATTGATAGGTATTAAACAGGTGCTTTTTAGGTCCTCAATAATCTTTAAGAACATAAAGGAATCCTGAGATCCAGTAGTCTTGAAACCTGTTGGTATGAAAAAACCAATGTTTTTAGTGTCGTGCAAAGGGGAATTCCATGTAGTTTCTGATTGTTACTGCATACGTAAGCAAGCACCATCATGCATGGGTTGGTTATTCTGATTAAGCTGAATAGCAGTATGTTTTGATCAAGAAGAGCTAACTTTTGATTTTATTTAGCAGAGATTGTCTAAAATTGGAGGACTGAGGAAACCTTAGATTCATTAGAATTTTCCGTACTTTTTCCAGTATTTACAAAAGAAAAAAATGAAGCTGGTAATTTTTCACCTACTTTTTAAAAGAATTAGAGAGTAGGGCCTGTGCTCTAAACCGTCTGATTAAATCTTACAGCAAACATTGAACTGTGCTCGTAAATATTAAAAACAGAGAGAAGGCCTTGGCTGTCATGAGGCTGCCAGGCAATAAAGAAGTAAGCAAAACAAATAATAAAACATGGCACTTTCGATAATGGAGAATGTTACTAAGAACTATAACTGTGTAACATGACTAAGATTAGTGGGCCTGCTTTCACCTGGTCATGAAGAGTCCCAGAGGGAACATGCTATGGAAGGAGCCATAGGCCCCTGCAGGAGTGGGGAAGAGCATTCCAGGAAAAGGAGGGCTGGCTGACTGGGAGTGAGCTGCAGGGTCACCCAGGAGGGGAGGGAGAGTAGAGAGGTGGTAAAACCTCAGGGCAGAGGTGGGGTGTTAATAACTACCACAGTGATCAGTCCAGTTGCTGTGGTGAACAAGTTGTAGCTAGAAAAGTAAAAACTGTGTCTTCACAGATCATGAAAATAAGATTAATGAAAAACTTATCAGTTTCTTTTAAAACAACAATAAAACTTGTTATCTTAAGTATCTTGAGAAGTTAATTTCTTTTAAAATAAGTGATCTGTTAATATGAAGGGGGAAGCAAGGTGGACTGTATGTGGGAACTCGCGGTTTTTGCAACTCTGTAAGTCTGAAATTATCTCAAAACTTAAAATAAATTAAAACAATAACAAAAGCACAGTTAAAACTTGAATGAATTTGTAATTTTGGTACAATACTGAGAACAGACGAGTCCAGAAAAATAAACAAAAGGTGGGGGGAAACACATTCTGTTACCTCACTTGGACTGCATACACTTCTTATTTAATCCTATGTCCCAGAACTTTGTTTCATGGTTGTACTTCTGAAAGGTCTCCCAGTGGTTCTCATGTTTGCTAATGTATTACACATACATGATTTTTTAAACAACATAGAAGTTTGGATGTCCTGCACAATGTTCCACTCTAGGAATTGTTAGTGTTTCATAGGATTTCTCTCCATCTATCCACCATTTTCAGTCTGCTTTAATAAGTTCAGTCTTGGTAGTAAATATTCAGCAAAACATTTGTCAACCCCCCCCTCCTTTTTTTTTTCTTAATTCTCAGCAACATCTCGAATCAGTGATGCACACTTAGCAGATACGATGATTGGCAAAGCGGTAGAGCATATGTTTGAGACAGAGGATGGCTCCAAAGATGAGTGGAGGGGAATGGTCTTGGCACGGGCACCTGTCATGAACACATGGTTTTACATCACCTATGAGAAAGACCCTGTCTTATACATGTACCAGCTCCTAGATGATTACAAAGAAGGCGACCTTCGCATCATGCCCGATTCTAGTGAGTATATATTGACAATTTTTAGTTTGAGTAATTCAAAAGGTATTTGGATTTTGGCTAAGGTATTTGATTAACTAGTTTACGGATTTTTTTTTAATTATTTTTTTCATGGTATTGGGATTTGAACTCAGGGCTTCACACTTTGTAGGCATGTACTATGCCACTTCAGCCACTCTGCCAGGCTGGCTTGGACTGCAGTCCTCCTGATCATGGCCTCCTGAGCCACCGGTGCCTGGCCTTGCAGACACATTTTTATTTTTGAAGCTGTATTCTTTTGATAATGAACAAGCATAGGCTATAAAATCTTTATCATCTTGTCACAAATTTTAGATGAAAAAGTGTTACTTGTGCTTGACTTCACTAATAAAATGAAGATTATTTTAAGCTATTAACATTACTGTTTGTTTTTTGTTACTTAAAAATATATGAAGGTATGGAAAACAGTAAATCTGTTTGTTTCAGCTCTAACAACTCTTACCTCATTGCCAGTCTTGTTTTATCTACTCCTCAGCTGAATTACTTTGAAGCTAATTGTTGATTTTATCTGTAAATATTTGAACTTTAGAGAATACTAATTTCAGCAAACTGTTAATTGGGGGTTCAGGGTATAGCTCAGTGGTGAGGGGTTATCTAGCATTTGTGAGACCATGGGCTCAATCCCCACCATCACAAAAAAATAAAACCATTAATTTTGAAAACATTCAGTAGCAAAATAGATTGCAAGGTCAGTATTTCGATATACCATTTAGCTATTTCCACAGATAGTCTCAGATAATTTAAATTCACGTGGGGAAAGCAGAAAAGGTTATGTATGATCTGGTTTTATCAAACCTGGTTTTAAAAACAAAAGAACTTTTTGCTTTTTGTTTTGTTTTGTTTTGGTGGAACTGGGGTATTGACTTGGTTTTGTGCCTACAAAGCAGGCTCTCTACCATTTGAGCTATACCTCTAGTCCATTTTGCTCTGGCTATTTTATTTTACTTATTTTTTGCTTGAGAAAATAATCATGTTTACTATAAATTCATTAGCAGGAGTTTACATCTAAGTATAGAACAGATCAGAAGGAATAAACAGAGGATCTGGCAATGTTCAGCATTGAGCAAAGGTCTGATGAGAGTAATGCAGCCTAGAATTTGGTAGCTGATACCATAATAATGGCATCAGCTAACATTTATTGAGAGCTTATTTATTAAACAGTATTGTCTATGATCTGTAGATTATCCATGTGCGAGGCAGATTCTGTCTTCTTCCTCATTTGGGGATAGAGAAATCAAGGTATACAAGGGTCAAGGTCACTACTGCATCCTGAGTAGCTAGGATTACAGGTGTGAGCCCCTGTGCCTTATCCTAATAAGGATATATTTGTTGTACGGGGGCCATTCACTGTGATAATTCCAAATAGGCTTACATTGGTTAGATCGCCCTCACCATCTCTCCCCCTTGACTTCCTCCCCACCCCAATAGAGCAATCACAAGAGGTTTTATTATTCTGTTCATGTAAGCATATGAAATCCATCAAACATACTCTCTCACCTTAATCTCCTTTCTTCATCTTTCCTGATTCCCCAAGTTCCACCAACTCACACACACACATTGCACCTATTTTACGGTCCCGTCCTTCATTATTTCTGAGTCAGTGTTCAGAAGGGTTTCTCAGTGTATCCCTCCTGTGAGTATGGCCCATTCAACCCTTTCCCTCCCATCCCCATTTTTCAACAGCTTCAGTACATAACGTTATACTGAGATTTTTTTAAAGTTTGTTTACATTTGTTATAAAGAGATAATACTGGGATATATATTAAGGAATTTAGTTACTCTTCAAGTATTCCTTAAAGTATTTCTCTAACCTGCATGAAATTTTTAACATTTTGTAGAGAAATATCTAGTAAAAAGTAGTTAACCTAATAATAGAAAGTCCCAAGTCATTTGTATGTACTCTGTCACCTTTCCAAGTGCTTCTTGATCTTTTCACTCCTTTCTCCAAACTTTGTTTTTATTTATTATTTTGTGTGCCTGTGGCACTGGGATTTGAATTCAGGTTCTTGCATTTGCTAGGCAGGCGCTCTCCCACCTGAGCCACTCCACCAACCCAAACTTGTAAATTTTTTGTGAGTGATACGGAAGTTTATTTACCATCAACCAAGAGCTGATGCGCTCATTTAAGGAGTTCTGAAATGGCCTGAGTCCCAACTCTCTTGCTGATAAAGTAAGCCTCAACAGGAGTTCCTCAGTTCTCTGAGACCCTATTAAGTTGTCAGTTACTTAGTAAACATGAAAGTTCCATTAAAGTATGGCAGTAGGATGATGATGCTTGAGGGAGGAGAATTTTTGAAGGGCAGAGTTGAGCTTAGATTTATTTTTCATTTCCCTGTTTAGAAATGATTATGTACAAGTGTTTAATTTGTATTGCATGTGTTTTTGTACCAGAGATCTAACAGTATTTGGATTGTCATTCAGTGAGAGAGTTTCTTGTAATCAAAGAGATCAAACCAGTGTTGATGTAAATACATACATGGTATAGGATACTTGTGAGAGTGAAATAGTGCAGTGCTGCTGATCATATTAGGAGAGCACAGACTGCCTTGTGCAACTGAGACATCTGGTCAACCTAAGATCATCAGCTCTTGTAAGGAAAAGAGCTCGGAATCTTCAGAACCTACAAGGAATTTCTTAAAATAGATTTGTTTTTGTTGTTGGTAGTCGTGGTTTGCTGTGTCAGCCTGTATATTCTCCTTGAAGTCACAGGGCATGCATTTCTGGGAACCCTCAGAGATTGTGTTGTATTTTCTAGGCTGATGTTCACTTAGCTCCTAATTTTAAAGTATAGGGTGGGGGAGTCTTTTTATTGAAACTGGGTAAGGAAGATTATGTGGAATGCAATGAAGTTGAGGGGGAAGAAGCTTTTAAAGAATTTACAGAGTAAAACCTGTGGGAATTCTATTTCAGAGTCATTCAAACTTATTTTTAGGTAACTGTAGCTATAATTTAACATGAACCAAAGGAATTTTGGTTATGGTTATCAAACTAAGTGATGTTTTATTGGACCGCAGCACACCCACTCATCTCTGTATCATCCTTTGCTACTTTCATGCGGCATTCACAGAGTTGAGTGGTTGGGACATTAAGCATGTATCCTCAAGCCTAAAATATTTACTGTATGGCCCTTTAAGAAAAAATTGACCACCAGATGGTCATCATTATGAATTCAGGATATTTCAGAAATTTTTATTAATAACTGCAAAATTAAATGTGAGGACTGAGGTGTGGCTCAAATGCAGTGCATGCTTTGCAAGTGTGAAACCTGAGTTCAAACCCCAGTCCCACCATAAAAAAAAAACAAAAAAACAAAAAAAACGTGATTTGGTGTATATTTAAAAACTAACTTTAATTTTTTTCCTTTTAAATGTAGATGATTCACCTCCAGCAGAAAGGGAACCCGGAGAAGTTGTGGACAGCCTGGTAGGCAAACAAGTGGAATATGCCAAAGAAGACGGCTCAAAAAGGACTGGCATGGTCATTCACCAAGTAGAAGCCAAGCCTTCCGTCTACTTCATCAAGTTTGATGACGATTTCCATATTTATGTCTACGACTTGGTGAAAACGTCCTAGATGTCATCCTGAACTTTGCCAATTTGTGGAACTATTAAATGTATAATTTGTAGACATAAAGACTTGATTGCTTTCCAGTTTAATGAAAGCTTAAATGTCCCTGCGAACCCACAATCTCTGCCAGCAGAACTGGTTTTGTTCTGAATAGTACAGATTGATGTGAACACAAAGCATTTTGTGTAAGGAAAACTCCTTCCTCTTGCAAGAAGTCTTGTTTGTTGGGAGGGGAGTTACAGGCAAGTTTGGTAAAGTTAAGAAACTATAGTCATTTAAATCTGAATAGATCTTAACCATTTCCCCCTTCACTCTAACATTATCTTACTCTGCTGCCACAATGCAAGCATAGTTGGTTATTTTGTTAATGCCTTTTTTGAGAGATACGTATCTATATCTACCTGTCTATATCTACATCTGTGTGCTTACGTATATAATATATATATACACACACAGAGTACACGTGCACACACACACCACTGGCAGTCCTTTCCTCGTGGATTGGGATGGGGTGATAAAATTTTCTCCAGTTTAACAGGAGTGCTTGACCCGTGGCAGTAAATTAGGGCACAGGAAGCACATAGGGACGTTTATGTTGTTTGGAAGGTCAGAAGTTCAGAGCACCTTTCCAGTCTGGAGGCTTTCAACCATAAGTCCAATTATGACTTCATTGTGAGCAGTTAATAACCCACATTAGAATTTGATAAACTGCCGAGACATCTGGATAAAAGGCTGCCTTCAGTTCTAAGCTTTGTAAATGTTTTTGTTTATGTTTTAATCATAAATCTTTTTTAAAGTAAAGCCCAGGTCCTTGGTTCACTGATATAATGGAGATGTGTTTTGGACTGCACATTTGGTCCATTATTTGTACAAATCAGCAATCTGGATTTTAGTACATGGATTTAAAAGGCAACAGTGCATCAGTGGTTTGTGTGTATGTGGTAAGTTCCTGGAAGAACAGTGCATTTATATTAGAAATGTAAGTTTTAAGAATGGCATCGTTGCCTTCTAACAAGTTCTCTGGGACATTTTAATTTTTATTACTATTATTGTCGATACATGATTATGGTCAGAGAAGGCCTCCTCTTCCCTTCCCGGCCCTCTCCCGCCCGGCTTTTCTCCACAAAGAATGTCTCACAAATAACAGCTTAATCTTTTGACACCTTTTTTGGTGGTGTATGTCCGGGTGTGTTGTTAAGTGGGCTGATTCCCTCCAGTGGCCCTCGGGCTTTGCATGTCAGTGGTGTGTACCATAGAAGGCCAGTCACAGAAGGCTCATGGGTGTAATAGCAGCCCTTTGCTCCAGAGTTCTTTCATGGTTTATTCCTGTACGGTTGTTTGAAACTGAAATAGAACTGCAAATATGGTTGGTTGATAGATAAATGGCTATTCTCACTTTGTTTTGGAAAAACCCTGATAACTTGACAGCCAGGAGAAAGAAGGTATGTGAAACCAGTCTCTTGTAGAGATTGGAAATCTTACCTACAGTTTGGGCAGAACCTACACAGGGTGCATGCTGTCAACCAAACACCAGAGGTTTGGATGTGAAGTCTGTGTTTTCCTAAGTATGGGCTGTTCTCAGTGTTAGAAGTCATTCCATGATTGCACATCCTAACCGTGCATGGTCTGCTTGATGCCCATTTTGGCCTTCACAAAGGTGTGTGCCTTGTGCTCTTCGATGGTAGCAAGTGCTCACCACGTGAATACAGTACCTCAGTTCTCTGTCTCCTATTGCAGTTGCCCTGTGCCCAGCACTTCACCATGGGCAGCCAGGGCTTGCTTCTCAAAGCCGTGTGATACCCCAGTCTTAGGCACTTCTCATGTGTGTGTGAACAGGTGTCTTCCTGCAGATCTGCTGTGTGTCTCTCTGCATGTAAATCTCAAAGCTGAGCCTGGCTCCTGGAGCCCATACTGACATTTGTGGCACGAATTGTTGAGTGTGCAGCATGCAGACAGTGCAGAACACAGTACAGTGACTTCAGGCTGAAAAATAAAAGATCCTTTTGAAGTATCCTGAGGGTTGGGTCAATTGAAACACTTGTAGCATTATCTGAGGACTTGCATTGTGGTTTTTCTGCAAGCAACTTAATATACCCCTTATCTCCCAGTCTCTAGAGGAATGCAACATGATGATGATGATGATGATGATTTCAATCATTGGTTCATTTTATTGCCTTGAGGGCTTGAGGGAAGGGGAAGGGTATTTTTTTGGCGGGGGTGGAGGGGTGGGCTCATTTTTTCCCCCATTCTTTATTTCAGTGGCTTACACCACAGTTGATGGTGTGACTAAGTCTGCTCCCAAGCCCACGTATCTTGGGCTTCATTTTAGGCTCATATTTCAGATCTGCATGCATTGCTTGCATTTTTCTGGTATCTAAATGTTGATTCCTTGTTCTAGGAATTCAACATTAATTTCCAAAATTATCATGGAACTTGTGGCAACACAAGACATGAATCTATGTATAAAATTTATTGGCCTTTCTCATTTTCCTGCTCTAGTATTGTATTGTGTGTGTGTGCGTGTGTGATGTCAGGCTGCCACGTAAAACTTCAGAGAAGAACTTTAAAAGCAGACCATCCTTTTTGCATGCTCTATTCTAAGTAGAATGTTCAGTGTAACTAACTAAAATTGCATGTTAAAGATATTTAGGTTTTTTTTTTCTTTATTTTTATTTGCTTTCAGTTTCCTATATATTTGCTTACTGTGCTGTTGTAGTGGTTGTAGGATAAAAATGCACTGGTGAAGCAAATGTAGTGCCAACAGAAGGTGATTTTCCAGTTGTATATGTCATGCAGCATTTGAAGGGACTGTGCGTTCTTAAAAAAAAAATCACAGTTGCTTCTAAGCCAGATTACATTTTTATTGTTTTATGTGCCAAACCCCGAAGTGCATTGGGCTTGAATCTCTGAACACTGTAGACCCATTAGAAGACTGTTCTGATTGTCACAAATTGTAGTGCCTGAAAACACTCTTAAGCTGATTGTCTTAAAAAAAAAAAAAAAAAGAAGAAGAAGAAAGTCCTCCAAAGATGAAACAGGAACAATTATTATAAGAAAATAATTATGGTGGAAATGTCTGTGGTTCCTTGGAAATGCTGCGCTCTCTGTATTTTCCATCGTTAGTGCAGTTTGAATGAATGTGTATAGTTCAGAGGTCTTCGTGTTCACACTTTAAAACTAGGTAAATGACCTCATCTTTCGAGCTTGAATTTAATTTTAGTTTTAATTTTATTTTATACAATGTGTAGACAGTTCCCTGTTCTCTGCATTTAGAAGTATACACAGTATAAATCTGTTAATTCTGTAAGTAATTTTTATAATTATGATGTAACCCCATCCTTCCTTAAAACATTCAAAATAAACCCTTTATGTGCAACTTCTGACTGTAGATTTTGTGCTCCCAAGCAAATTGTGATGTGGTAAACCTACCTCAAGAAAGTCTTTTTATCCAAGTAGTCATTTCACTGTGATGAACTGTCAGCTACAGATAGATTTTAATGGTAACTCAGTAATACCTGAAAGGATAGGGACCCCATAACCATTGTTCCAGCTATCTTAACTATCAGAGTTCATGATTTGACTGGAATTAGAAGTTTTACTTTATCATAAGATTTTAAGCTTAAAGGAATTATTTTAAGTTGAATTCAGTAATGTGTATTTTTATATTTTCACATCTGTTCTTTGGATATTGGTTACAATACTTTTATTCATAATTAAATACCCATCAGTGAGACTCAATAGTAAAAAGCATTCATTCTTAATGATAAAGAAATGAAGGTAATATTAACACCTGTATGTGTTCTGTGTTTAATCTTGGTCATTTTAATTGGCAAGGAATATGTAGAGTGTTTCCCAGTTTATTTTGACTAAAGGAACTTTTAGGAGAACGGTTGATACTTAGTGAAGGATAAATGCCAGTTGGGCTTCAGAACACCTGGCTTACAGGCTTGTGTTGGTGCAGCAGCTGTGAACCAAGACTGAGGTGGCCTGCAGACAGAGTAAGGGCTGTGCCTGGCTCTGGCAGAAGATAGCTATGGTGTGGGGTGTGAGAGGGTACCTAGCCATTGGGTTGTGCTGGTGCTCAGTTCAGTCTAGGTTTCCTAACCTTCCTTTCTGAAGGCAGACTAGTTACTATCGTGGTATCTTTTGAAGGTTACAGCTGTATTTTCCCAAAAAAAGTGATAAAAGCGAGAACAGTTTCAAAGTGGGAAGTTGACGACTGGAGTTTGTGAACTAATACCAGTCAGGTTTGAAGTAGGCTGTCCCTCTGGGAGAGTTGAGGGATGAGCCCCCCTTTTCCTCATTTCTTCTCTTGGTTGCAGTTAATCTTGTGATGATAACAGCACTCCACGCTAGAAAGCATTAGTAACTGCTCAGTAACAAGCTCTTGCCACTAATTTTTTCATTTAGTTCCTAACAGTCCAGTGAGAAGTCACATTTCCTCCCTGTTTTACAGATGCAGAGGGGGTAGGGGTGGAGGCTCTGATCCAGAATTACAGGGGTGGTGTAGACTATGACCCCTGGTTTTGTTCCCAGGCCCTAAACTGCTCTGCTGATGCTCCAGAATTAAATTACTCACTGGGATGATTTGAATTAATAGTGCAATATTCTCTGAATCATTTTTATGTAAACTTATTGCATGAGTTGATAATAAGAAAGTTTTCCTATTTCCAAACTGAGCTAATAATTAAAATGGTTTTATTTAGGCATTTATGTCTGTATAATAAGAACCAGTGAAAGTTACTTTTTTAAAAGATAACTTTAAATGTATCAAATTAGTACCTTTATAAAACCTAAGTTTCTTAGGCTCATAGTACACAATGTCATACCTTGTTTTTATTATGGTAATTCATTTGTTCTGTGTCGTAAAATTAATTGCAAAGTTTTAGGTTGCAGAGTTTCAGAGAGTTAGGTAACTGTGTGCTTCTGCAGCCATTCTTCTTAGTCTCCCATCTCACTTTGGTTTGCTATGACTGATTTGGTTAAACCAAGGGGCAAATAGATTTGGGTATTGTTTTGTCACATAAGATTGCCTAAAAATGACGTTGGTACTCTCTCTGCTTAGTTTTTAATCAAGGGCACTGGGGGAGTCTGTCCTTGGTAGTGCTGATGTAGGGGAGCCACTCTCTGCCCTCCCTTTTCCATTGACCATTACAGTAGCTGAACAGGCTTACTCCTGGCTCTGTTTACTCATCCTTCCCAAACCTGTCCCCATACCCCATCACCAGACTTCATGCTTCCATGGAGAAAACTGAGCTTTATGTACCATGTGAACTACTTAAAGCCCATTATAAGATTTGGTGATTTTATATTAAACTTGAGAATTCTGCTTTTATGTTGAAACTGTTGAGGCAGGTTATGATACTGTGAAAGGACAGAAGGCATTTTTAAACCCTTGAAGTTAATATAAATAACTTCTCAGTTTCTCAAGATTGAGTTGTAGCATTCTGAATTGTTTTCACATAGATTGTGAAAATAGCTTGAAATCCTTTTGCCATAAACTTGTCTCTTCAGGGTTTCTAAGAAACATAACCGTTTTCCACTGCCTTCCTTTTCACTCACGCTTAGGCTTGCACAGGTACATCAGTAGTGGCTCTTTTTCCTAAAGTAGCTCTGAGTGTGCTATTTCCTGGGAACCTGAGTTTACCAGTGCTGCTTCCAGTTTTCCTGTAAAGCTATGGTGAGCTAGTTCTCACCATGAGTTTATTTCTTAATCTAAATCTGACTTGTCACACTAGGAAGGACAAAAAATTGTCATTTTCAGAACAGTTCTGCAGAGGACAGTAGTGTGTTAAATGTTCTCTCAGTATGTCTGAAGAGGTAGAGTCCCCAATCTGATATTACCAGGACTGAGACACAGGAGAAAGATTATCAAGAAATGTCAGCAGCGCACACAAAAACTAACCGCAAGCTCCTGGTAAAATTCACCCTGTTATCAGCCATTAGTTTTATAACACATTTCTAAAATATGCAGAAATGGCTCATCCATTATCAATTGACCCCTTTACGGCGTGGGGGAGGGGTTCAGGGAACGCAAGACTGTGCAGTACTGGAGGTTGAACTCAGGGCCTCGCACTTGCTAGGGAGGCACTCCACCAGTTGAGTCACTCCACCAAGTCCTTTTTTTTGTGTGGAGTATTTTCAAAATAAGGTCTTGTGAATTATTTGCCAGGGATGGCTTCAGACCTCGATCTTCTTGATCTCTGCTTCCTGAGTTGCTAAGATTACAGCTGTGAGCCACCCTCAATTGGCTTGTTTTATTTTGTGAGACAGGATGTCAATATGTAGCTCAAATTGTAGTTGAACTCATGATATTCCTACCTCAGCTTCCTGAGTGCTGGGAATATATAGACTTGCTGGCAACACCACTTCTGGCTTCCTCACCCCCACTGGTAATTGTATCCTTAAGATGTGTCATACTCCAGTAAAATTGATACATGTAATTGTCTAAGAGTTGTTCATTGCTAATACTCTGCATGTTATATGTGTCAGTAAGCTCAGACTGCTCTTTAGGTACCACAGATTGCACAGTGTGCACATCAGAATTTGGGACTGGAAAGCTGAGATGCAGGTGCTCAGTGGGGATGTTGTCTTCTGAGCCCCTCCTTTGCTTACGCTTGGCCATTGTCTTCCTGTGTCCTCACATGGCTGTCCTCCTGCTTGTGCCCCACTCTTACAAGGAGATTGGGTCCCTAAAGGGCCTCATGTTACCATAATCATCTTTGCACTGTGTCATGTCTTACGCACCCCCCAACACCCAACACACACACACACACACACACACACACACACACACACTCACTTACTCACACTCAGCCTTGCTATGTATCCCAAACTGCCCTTGAACTCACTATCCTGTCTTAACCTGCAGGAATTATATGCTTGAAACCACCACACCCAGTTACATAGTCACCTCTTGAGAGATCTTCATCTGCAAATGCAGTTTAGGGCTTCAGCATGATGAATTTTGGGACCACAAAATTTAACCTATAACAATGTATTAAAAGTTAGTTGGATTTTCCTACTGTTGGTTAAGAGAAAGAGAGCATTATTTATTTGTTCAGAATATTATTCCTGGAAGATACTAAATTTTAAATAACACCAATGTTCCACTTAGGTATAAAAGGTCAGATGAAGCCAGGGCACAAAAAAGAGTGGAAAGGGTCAAGTACCTCTTTCAGATGTAGCTCACTCACTTCTGCGGGTACAATCTCAGACACATTTTTTAGCTTCTCAGACATGTTCTCCCCCTCTGCCAAATGCAAGGAGGGACTCTGCCCTTGTCAGGTTTCTAGAGAGATGTGGCATGTGAGCACAGCTCAGTCCCAGGCCTGACACAGCCTCTCCCTACCATGCATGTCCTCATGAAAGGAAGTGCTTGTGTCTTTGAAGGCCTTGTCTGTGTTCTGCAATGGCTTGATGTTTGAGATCATGCTTAGTTCCACACAGATCATTTTCTTGTCAGATAATGTCCATCTGGAATATTGTGGATTTTATGGGTTTTTTTGTTTGTTTGTTTGTTTGTTTAAGAACACTGGCCTCTTTCAGTGTACACAAGAATTGTGGTAAGCAATGTTAAAAGGTTAGTAGGCTGTTTGACGTCTGCTTTATTGTGGTTGAGACACAGATAACGAAGGTATGTTTGTGTTTTAAGTTTGCTCAAGTCATAACTAGCATTAGTAAAGGGAGGTGCTGGAGTTTGCAGCCAAGAGTCTGGCTGGATGTGTAGTGATGTCAAAAGCAGGTCTGCTTTTTGAGCAGAATCCTACAGCAGCATTCCTTAGAAAAGCACATCAGGGTTGTGTCTGATCTGTGCACAGCATGAAAGTGGCCACATCGTCCTTGCTTCCTACTTTGGGCCTACTGCACTGCGGATTTCACTAAAACCTTTCTTTCCTTTTTGATGCAATCTGAAGTGATTTGTCTTTGGAAACATTTAAAAGTTTGTGTTTCTAGGGGAAATTTTTCTGAGTTAAAATTCACCTTAGCGTTACCTTATCATTACTAATTCATTTCCAGTATGGATGTGTAACATTGCTTAGGTCTCACATTCTTTCTGAATAAAACCAGCTGCTTTATTTAAGTGACAACAGAATCACTGTCTATTTTGATACATACTCAAATATTTCTTAGATTTTTGAGAGGGTTGTTTCTAAGGCTGGTGTGTAACTGTAGAACGACCCTGTGTTCTTCCCCAGGCAGCTTTGTAAAGTGGTAGGTGTGGGCAGTGTAGACATCAGACATCAGTAGTGAGGCAAACGAGAGCATTTTTTGGCTCTTCTGAGGAAGCTAGGTTAGTAGGTTACTATTCTGAAGGTTTAATAATTTAGGGGATAGTCTATCCTAGAAAATATAATAGATGTTGATATCATCTTG